GAGTGGCCTAATTAGAAAAATTAAAAACAATTATAACAAATCACCCACCATGGGGTTCACAATCCCATAACCACAAGGTTAAGAGCCTTGCACTCTACCAACTGAGCTAGACGGGCATACACAATAGGCACAACCCTTTGCACTTTACCAACTGAGCTAGACGCCTGGGGCTCGAACCCATGACCACAAGGTTAAGAGCCTTGCGCTCTACCAACTGAGCTAGACGGGCATACACAATATGTTCAACCCTTTGACATCTTGTCGAGTGACCCAAGAGTGACCTAATTAAAAATTAAAAACAATTATATAGCAAATCGCCCACCGCCCCATGACCACATGGTTAAGAGCCTTGCACTCTACCAACTGAGATAGACGGGCATACACAATAGGTAACACAAAACAACCCTTTGCGCTTTACCAAAGGAACTATAACATCTAGGACTATACCAAATCGCCCACCATGGGGTTCGAACCCATGACCACAAGGTTAAGAGCCTTGCGCTCTACCAACTGAGCTAGACGGGCATACACAATATGTTCAACCCTTTGACATCTTGTCGAGTGACCCAAGAGTGACCTAATTAAAAATTAAAAACAATTATATAGCAAATCGCCCACCGCCCCATGACCACATGGTTAAGAGCCTTGCACTCTACCAACTGAGATAGACGGGCATACACAATAGGTAACACAAAACAACCCTTTGCGCTTTACCAAAGGAACTATAACATCTAGGACTATACCAAATCGCCCACCATGAGGTTCGAACCCATGACCACAAGGTTAAGAGCCTTGCGCTCTACCAACTGAGCTAGACGGGCATACACAATTAAAAACAATTTGAACCCATGACCACAAGGTTAAGAGCCTTGCACACTACCAACTAAGCTAGACAGGCATACACAATAGGTACAACCCTTTGACATCTTGTCGAGTGACCCAAGAGTGGCCTAATTAGAAAAATTAAAAACAATTATAACAAATCGCCCACCGCCACATGGTTAAGAGCCTTGCACTCTACCAACTGAGATAGACGGGCATACACAATAGGTAGCACAAAACAACCCTTTGGGCTTTACCAAAGGAGCTATACATCTAGGACTATACCAAATCGCCCCACCATGGGGTTCGAACCCATGACCACAAGGTTAAGAGCCTTGCGCTCTACCAACTGAGCTAGACGGGTATACACAATTAAAAACAATTTGAACCCATGACCACAAGGTTAAGAGCCTTGCACTCTACCAACTAAGCTAGACGGGCATACACAATAGGTACAACCCTTTGACATCTTGTCGAGTGACCCAAGAGTGGCCTAATTAGAAAAATTAAAAACAATTATAACAAATCACCCACCATGGGGTTCAATCCCATAACCACAAGGTTAAGAGCCTTGCACTCTACCAACTGAGCTAGACGGGCATACACAATAGGCACAACCCTTTGCACTTTACCAACTGAGCCTGGGGCTCGAACCTATGATCACAAGGTTAAGAGCCTTGCGCTCTACCAACTGAGCTAGACAAGCATACACAATATGTACAACCCTTTGACATCTTGTCGAGTGACCCAAGAGTGACCTAATTAAAAATTAAAAACAATTATAGCAAATCGCCCACCGCCCCATGACCACATGGTTAAGAGCCTTGCACTCTACCAACTGAGATAGACGGGCATACACAATAGGTAACACAAAACAACCCTTTACGCTTTACCAAAGGAGCTATACATCTAGGACTACACCAAATCGCCCACCATGGGGTTCGAACCCATGACCACAAGGTTAAGAGCCTTGCGCTCTACCAACTGAGCTAGACGGGCATACACAATTAAAAACAATTTGAACCCATGACCACAAGGTTAAGAGCCTTGCACTCTACCAACTAAGCTAGACGGGCATACACAATAGGTACAACCCTTTGACATCTTGTCGAGTGACCCAAGAGTGGCCTAATTAGAAAAATTAAAAACAATTATAACAAATCACCCACCATGGGGTTCACAATCCCATAACCACAAGGTTAAGAGCCTTGCACTCTACCAACTGAGCTAGACGGGCATACACAATAGGCACAACAACCCTTTGCACTTTACCAACTGAGCTAGACGCCTGGGGCTCGAACCTATGACCACAAGGTTAAGAGCCCCCTTTGCACTTTACCAACTGAGCTAGACGCCTGGGGCTCGAACCTATGACCACAAGGTTAAGAGCCTTGCGCTCTACCAACTGAGCTAGACGGGCATACACAATATGTTCAACCCTTTGACATCTTATCGAGTGACCCAAGAGTGACCTAATTAAAAATTCAAAACAATTATAGCAAATCGCCCACCGCCCCATGACCAGAACCACATGGTTAAGAGCCTTGCACTCTACCAACTGAGATAGACGGGCATACACAATAGGTAACACAAAACAACCCTTTGCGCTTTACCAAAGGAGCTATACATCTAGGACTACACCAAATCGCCCACCATGGGGTTCGAACCCATGACCACAAGGTTAAGAGCCTTGCGCTCTACCAACTGAGCTAGACGGGCATACACAATTAAAAACAATTTGAACCCATGACCACAAGGTTAAGAGCCTTGCACTCTACCAACTGAGATAGACGGGCATACACAATAGGTAACACAAAACAACCCTTTGCGCTTTACCAAAGGAGCTATACATCTAGGACTACACCAAATCGCCCACCATGGGGTTCGAACCCATGACCACAAGGTTAAGAGCCTTGCACTCTACCAACTGAGCTAGACGGGTGACACAATCGAACTTTTAAAGGCATCGGACTAGCGATTGTGCGGCACTCACTTTCCAACGACAAGTGAGCTAAGCCAATTTGTACTTGCGTCGCCTACGGCCAAGCGACGTATGATCGAGCCTCTAGCCTCGGTTTTAAAAGAAGGTTTTGGAAAACGAGGGTCGAGAGAGATTTTAGAAAGAGAGATTTTTGAAAGAGACGTTATATAAGCAAGCAAGAGAGAGATAACAACGGCTTAGCATATATAACCTTGGGTAGGGAGAAGTTGACAACTAGTCATATCCCCCTATAGTACATTTTGAGGCATTTCATGTCTGGCAGGCCTAGACATGATATTTTTGAGGCGTCATACGCCCTAGAACTACAAAAGTAAAACACTAGAATGAAAAGACATGACAAGGGTTTGGCTTGCCATAGGCATGCGGCCATGGGCAACACGCCCTGGACGAGCATGACCGTGACATCCTCCCTCACTTAATTGGTTGACGACCCCGTCAACCGACTACTTTCAAACCTAGCGATGTGGGTGGCGGCGGATTTCAGGTCTTCGGCGCGTTCCCAGCTGGTTTCCTCTGTAGGGAGATTCTTCCATTTGACAAGGAATTCACGAATCGTCCGTACAGGTCGTCCTATCTTCCTAACCCTGTCGGCGAGGATCTCCTCTACTTCTTTTGTTTCTTTTTGCCTCAGATCGATGCTCGGTCTTGTGGTTGCATTTCGTTGGTCGTCTTCTGGGTCAGGGTGGTATGGCTTCAAGTTGCTCACATGGATTACTGGGTGGATTTTCATCCATGTGGGGAGTGCAACTCGGTAGGAGGTAGTCCCGATCTTTTTAAGG